TCTCAACAGACCTGCCAGATATTAGCCACCAACTCTGCCCATGGATGGCCCACATATTCCTTTCCACTCCCTCTCCAGCCCTTTGCCCTATGTTAGTTCCTGTCCCCAACCAATTTCCTGGGAACACCTTCCATGTGGTCACAGAAGCTCATTTTTTTTTTTTTTGTATATACTGTGTGCCTTTCCTTATCCCCAGATCCATCAAAGTAGATACCTTCTCCTTGGTGACCAGATGCACAAGTGACAACAAATACATTGTGGTAGAGAGAAAAAAAATACATCATTTTAGCTGTTAAAATGTTCATGCCAACCATGACCTGACATAATTTTTCATTGCAGATCATTGAAACATGTTCTCTGTAAGCCATGGATATGTTGTATCTTTTAGGCTTAAAATTAGGAGCCCCTCAGGGCTGGAGAGATGGCTCAGTGGTTAAGAGCACTGGCTGTTCTTCCAGAAGTTCTGAGTTCAATTCCCATCAACTACATGATGGTTCACAACCAACCATAATGAGATCTGGTGCCCTCTTCTGGCCTGCAGACATACATGCTGACAGTATACTGTATACATAATAAGTAAACATAGAAAGTTTTTTTTTTTTTGTTTTCTAAATTAAGAGGGACTCAAGATAAGAGGAAGAAATGTTCAGATCCAGAAGTGGGCAATGTCTACAGCCATACAACCCTGAATACTGTCCAACCAAATACTCCCAATCACACTGGAAAAGTGGGCCAAGAAGTTTTGAATTTTGTCTTCAGTTGCTCTAGAAAATAAGGCTTCTTCTCAGCAGAAAACATCTCACAAGATTATCTTGGGCTTGTTCTCTTTAAGCCCAAGAGACCCATTTATATGACTCTGTGACAATGGTTTTCCCCTCTAGTCTCATACCATAGTCAACACAGAAAACTATACCCCTAAACTTGAGATTTCTTCTCACCAAAGCAAGCCATTTCTACAGTAGATACCCCCTAGTTCAATCCAGATATGATACACTAACTTCCTGGAAGCAGCATCATATCACACAATTTTAGGGTAGTGACCTGCCCACAAGACTGCCCTGCACTGCAGATGCCAGTGGCAATCAATTGGTCATTTCCTATACTTGTGACCAATAGCTGTCAATTGTGACTTCCATTATCCTCTCCTGGATTCGATGGATTTCCTAGAGCAGCTCACAAAGCTCAGGGAAGCCCTTAAGTCTACTGGTTTATTATAAAAAGAATCATAAACTATGGGCATCAGATAAAGGGATACATAACACAGGGCATCTGGGAAAAGGTACAAAGTATTCTTGTCCTTGCTGGACATACAACCTCTAAGAACCTCCACATTAAGTCTAGCTTGGTGAGACAGTGAGTTTTGGAATACATACAGCCAGAAGGACATAGGACAGAGTGGCTAGGACCCAGGTGAGTGTGTAAGGATCCCTCCCCCTTTTATGAAAACCTCAACAGGCCCCATCCTACTGTTAGTCACAACTGCTGACTAAGATGACAATGGCTGTTATACTCAGAAAGTAGGTCGTCTGCCACAACACCTGTATTCTTTTACTGCTCAATTTTTTTTTTCGAGACAGAGTTTCTCTATGTATCTTTGGAGCCTATCCTGGCACTCGCTCTGGAGACCAGGCTGGCCTCGAACTCACAGAGATCTGTCTGCCTCTGCCTCCTGAGTGCTGGGATTAAAGGAGTGCCCCACCAACGCCAGGCTCTAACTGCTCAATTTTTATGGTTTAAATTTTTTAAAAAAGAAATGATGTGAAATAGACTGTGCCAAAATAAAATTTTGTGGGTATGTGACAATCAGAATATCTCAAAAGAAACTAAGGGAGAGGGCAGTTAAGAAACGAAAGCAAGAACAACCCCCTTTCCAAGTGAGGACTTGGCTTGACTTTGAAGCATCTTTGGAAAACAAGGAAACTGCTGACACACTTGGAGGAAATCAGCATTCTAAGAGTTGTCAAGCGGCTTTCCCCTAGCAGATAAGCCATATGCTAACTAGGACACCAGGACGTGTGAAAGGACAGCTATGGGAGGGGCGTCTGATCTGTGACAATTATGTTGGGGTCACTCATGCTCCTCAGCTTTCCCTAACTCCATATTAATTTTCACAGTGTTGACTTCTGATAAAAAATATTTCTCTTGCATGCCTTTAATCTCAGCAGAGGCAGGTGGATGGATCTCTGTGAGTTCAAGGCCAGCCTGGTCTACAAAGTGAGTTCCAGGGCAGCCAGGATGTTACACAGAGAAACCCTGACTTGAAAAACCAAAAAAGAAAAACAAACAAACAAAAAAGTCTGTTTCATTAGTACATGTGCACATGGAATTTTAAAACCAAGAATCTCAACATCATTTTCAAGCAGTGACCTCATTAGGGACATTTGAGCAGAACCAAACCAAACGCGCCTTCAGGTTTTACTTTGAAGTGAACTGCACAGAAAAAGGAAGAGATTTTTAGCTCTAACTGCTATTAGCGTAACAAAATCTTAGCACTCCTTATGTTGATGTATCTGGATAGGCCAATGTGGAACCCAATGGGAGTTTGGTTCCTTGTCTCAAGATAACCAACCCCCCCCATCTTTAATACTAACCTCTAGTCTTGAAGCACATCTTCTAATTTGGGTATCCTGCTTGCTAATAGCAAATACGCTCCACAAAGCACATTAAGGAGGCATGGAACACTATCAGAGTTAAAAAAAAAAAAAAAAAAAAAAAAAACCAGCCACTGCAAACATCACCAATCTCACCACCACTGCCCCCAAAATACACATACACATCAAATCCCTTTACACAATGGCCACCTACCAAAGGAAACTGGTGCTTTAAAAATTTGCATGTCTTAGTCAAGTATCTGAACATTTTTCTCAATTTTGAGCTGACATGAGAGCCAGAGCAAATGCTTGAATGGTCAGGTTGGCACCCACCCTTCCCATCGTGCCAAAATAAGCTCTAGCTGTGTGAAACCAAAGGGCTAGCTGGCTGGCACCTGCCTGTCCTTTTCTTACAAGGGATGAGAGAGATGCATACTTTCAGGATGCCAGAAGGTGCTTGGCAGCCATCCATCCCCTTTTCCAAAGTTACTACTATGGGTCTGACAGGTTGTCGGAAATGCTCGGGCAAGGACAGATCCAGGGGGTTTTGGCAGCTGCCCCAAGTGTTAGGGGTGTTTAAAACCAATGTCACACTTCAAGGAGGTTGTTGGAAGCTGCACACCTGCTCAGTTAGGACTGACACCTGCCAGTTTACCATTAAATATAGAAAGTTGGAACTAAAGATCCTGACCTACTTAACCTTACTCGCTGTCAGATTTCTGAGATGTATACTTGTACAGTGAACTGCTGCTCTTTTCCATTTATGGAGCCTAGTAGTGAGATGAACATTTTTTGAACACTATGCAGAATGGCACTGTTCACACTTCCCCTTGGAACTGCTTCCAAATATATTTCAACCATTTTTTAAAAAACAAAAATCCTTTTTGCCCTTCTTTTAAAAAATAGAACTATACAGAATGAAAAATTTTAAGGCCAGATATAAAATATTTTGCCTAATTTTGAATTCATCTCAAAGAGTAGGAAAGTCCTAGAGATTGTTTTCTTGACTTATTTTATTTTCTAGGAACATATAAGTAAGTTATGCACACTTGTTTTCTGCTTATATTCTACATCCCATCCTCAAGTGAGAAGTTGACTGGCTCAGATTAAACTGAAATATCAGTGACATTTTATAAAGCACAATTACTCACGTGCAAGTATCTTAACTGAGAATCCATGAACAACTGAACTCCTATAGCTCCTTTGATTGTTGAATTCAAGTCTAGATCAGGCTTGAGTGCAAAGTTTAGATCCTGGGTCTTCATGGTGAGAATGTAATAAACTATGAAAATTCTTATGGTTTGTCTTTTTAAAGAAAACCCCCAACCACTCCAAATTTATATTTCCAAATAAACTGAAGGTTAGCACAAAGTTTATAAATCTGTGGACACTATGGCTGGGAGAAAACCCGAGAATACCCCTAGTAAATACCTAATATATGCTTCATTAACTTAAAAAGGCAGGAAGTCCCACTTAAAGAAATAAATAGCTTTTCTTGTGTGCACAATGATAGAGGCACAAAATTATTCACTATAGCATTATATATAAAAAAGTCTAAGTGACCCGAATATCCACTAGTAAGAGCAGGCCAAATAAAACACAGCATACCTACATGAGGAATGCCCTGTCTCTTGAACACAGCTGTTGGGCTCAGTGGTATATAAAATTTGCTAAGTGTGTGCAAGAAGGCCGAGGTTTGACTCCCAGCACCATGAAAATGATGTAACTCGGGGATTATTATCAGTTATCAGCATTATTAATAATGACACCCTCCAGAGAGGAAGGTTGGATCAAGGACCACAGGAGGAGAGGAAACTTACTACCCACTCTCCTTTAAATGCTGTACTGTGTGCCTCTAACTGTTCAGATAAATCTTTTTTAAGGAAATAAAGGCCTGGTAAGGTATCTACATGAAAACACACTTTGTGTGCTTTCTGATAAGCACTCCTGAAACGAACAAGTACCAAAGGGCATTTTAAAATTCAGGTTGCTCTCTCTTACTGGATTGAGTAAGGTCATTCTTGAATCAGGTTATATTAATTTATATCATACCCAAAGAAGAAAGAAATGCTTCTGGGTTTTCATTCTTTCCTAAGGAAGAAACTATTATGTGTACAGAAACGTGGATTGAGAGAAAGAAGAGAAAGAAAAGAGGACACCATTAGGACACAAAGGTTTATGTGATTTTAGCCATTACAACAGGAGTTCAGAAAGATCTCAAGTGTTACATTGATGTTATCAATATTACAAAAAGAGAAAAAAAGTGACAGGCAACAGTGAAGAGCACCAGAGACCCAGCACAAACCTAAGACCATCCTTCTTCCTTCAACTGCCAAGGTATTTTCACAGATAAGCCCCCCACCCCCTGCTTTCATCTCAGCTTTCCCTAACCTTCTTGGCCTGGGGAACTCAAGCCTCATCCTCGCCCTCCTCCTCCTCGAACTCGCCCTGCTCATCAGCCGTGGCATCCTGGTACTGCTGGTATTCAGACACTAGGTCATTCATGTTGCTCTCTGCCTCGGTGAACTCCATCTCGTCCATGCCTTCACCCGTGTACCAGTGCAGGAAGGCCTTGCGCCGGAACATGGCAGTGAACTGCTCTGAGATGCGCTTAAACAGCTCCTGGATGGCGGTGCTGTTGCCAATGAAGGTGGCTGACATCTTGAGGCCTCGAGGGGGGATGTCACACACGGCCGTCTTCACATTGTTGGGGATCCACTCCACGAAGTAGCTGCTGTTCTTGTTTTGCACGTTGAGCATCTGCTCGTCCACCTCCTTCATGGACATGCGGCCACGGAAGATGGCAGCCACGGTCAGGTAGCGGCCGTGGCGAGGGTCACAGGCGGCCATCATATTCTTGGAGTCGAACATCTGCTGGGTGAGCTCAGGCACTGTCAGGGCTCGGTACTGCTGGCTGCCCCTGCTGGTCAGAGGTGCAAAGCCTGGCATGAAGAAGTGCAGGCGTGGGAAGGGCACCATGTTCACGGCCAGCTTGCGCAGGTCTGCATTCAGCTGGCCCGGGAAGCGCAGGCAGGTGGTCACCCCACTCATGGTGGCTGACACCAGGTGGTTGAGGTCACCATATGTGGGTGTGGTCAGCTTGAGGGTGCGGAAGCATTCGTCCTTCATTCTACAAGTTGATGGGCTATCTGGAATGCTAAAAATTAAAACACTAAACAGAAGACCCACAGTGCTATCTCCTGAAGCTTTGGATTTCAAAAGAAAAAAAAATAAGATGTCAAGGAAAAAAAGGACTTCAGGTTTTATACACATGCTTTTTATTAGTATAGATATCTTAGACAATACTGTAATCTTGAAAGGAGGTCCACACTATTACATCAACAGTGAATTTCTGACAGAGGCAAACTGAGCACCATAATTTACAAATAGAAAGACCATGCTTGAGGACAACAGAAGTTCACTAAGGGTGCACGATGTATTGGAGAAGTTCTTAAGCCTCATCCTCGCCCTCCTCCTCCTCGAACTCGCCCTGCTCATCAGCCGTGGCATCCTGGTACTGCTGGTATTCAGACACTAGGTCATTCATGTTGCTCTCTGCCTCGGTGAACTCCATCTCGTCCATGCCTTCACCCGTGTACCAGTGCAGGAAGGCCTTGCGCCGGAACATGGCAGTGAACTGCTCTGAGATGCGCTTAAACAGCTCCTGGATGGCGGTGCTGTTGCCAATGAAGGTGGCTGACATCTTGAGGCCTCGAGGGGGGATGTCACACACGGCCGTCTTCACATTGTTGGGGATCCACTCCACGAAGTAGCTGCTGTTCTTGTTTTGCACGTTGAGCATCTGCTCGTCCACCTCCTTCATGGACATGCGGCCACGGAAGATGGCAGCCACGGTCAGGTAGCGGCCGTGGCGAGGGTCACAGGCGGCCATCATATTCTTGGAGTCGAACATCTGCTGGGTGAGCTCAGGCACTGTCAGGGCTCGGTACTGCTGGCTGCCCCTGCTGGTCAGAGGTGCAAAGCCTGGCATGAAGAAGTGCAGGCGTGGGAAGGGCACCATGTTCACGGCCAGCTTGCGCAGGTCTGCATTCAGCTGGCCCGGGAAGCGCAGGCAGGTGGTCACCCCACTCATGGTGGCTGACACCAGGTGGTTGAGGTCACCATATGTGGGTGTGGTCAGCTTGAGGGTGCGGAAGCAGATGTCATACAGAGCCTCGTTGTCAATGCAGTAGGTTTCATCTGTGTTCTCCACCAGCTGGTGCACGGAGAGGGTGGCATTATAGGGCTCGACCACAGTGTCAGAGACCTTGGGCGAGGGCATGACACTGAAGGTGTTCATGATGCGGTCTGGGTACTCCTCTCGGATCTTGCTGATGAGCAGGGTCCCCATGCCTGAGCCAGTGCCTCCCCCCAGGGCGGGGGGCAGCTTGGAGACAGTCACAGCTTTCAGACTCCTTCCTCACTACATCCAGGACGGAGTCCACCAGCTCAGCGCCCTCTGTGTAGTGGCCTTTTGCCCAGTTATTTCCTGCACCACTCTGACCTATTAGAGCAAAGGGGGATTAAGTCATCCATGATTGGGTAATTTTTTTAATTAGCCCTCATATATAGTTATTCCAAGTTATCATAAATAGTCAATAAATGTTAAGCAATGAATTATTTGGTCATCCATGCAATTATAAATGAGTTACTACAGCACACCTTGCTTTGAAAAAGCTAAGATGCATTTGCTCTAAGCCTAAACTAAGGCTTAGCCAGCACACACTTGGATGCTATTTATGCTCTTATTCTGTCAATCACACTTCTCCACCCTTATGCTAGTGGTAATTAGCACCTTGTGCCCTTCTGTTTTCACCTATGCCACATACTCACCGAACACGAAGTTGTCTGGCCTGAAAATCTGCCCAAAAGGTCCAGACCTGACTGAGTCCATTGTGCCGGGCTCCAGGTCCACCAGGATGGCCCTAGGTACATATTTATTACCTGCAGGGAAACAAGAGTTGGCTTAGCCCTTCAAGCAGTGATCTCTGCAGAGAAGGGCTTGGTACCACCTCTTTCCTGATTGGTGCTACCCCCAAACAAAGAAAGGCCTATGACCAGGCTTTCAAAGGATTTGGTTGGCACAGCAGAGGCTACCCCACCCAAAGAGTGGTCATCCTAAAATAGACACGTTCTCTTGGGGCCACATACGAGCAGGGCACGGGGTGCTTGAATTGAAGATGGGGTGTTAAAAATAATTACCAGTCGCTTCATTGTAGTATACATTGATTCTTTCCAGCTGCAAATCACTGTCTCCATGGTAACTGCCAGTGGGGTCGATACCATGCTCATCACTGATGACCTCCCAAAACTGAGACATAAAAAGTCTGCTTTTAGCTACGTACGGCCCCACCCCGAATCGCAATGAGAAGCCCCCACCCAATCTTAACAACCCGACACTGCAGAAGCTTTAATGAGTGGCGTGACCCGGGCACAGCCTTAGGGCTTTCATTGTACAAGATCAGAAAGTTGAAACGGGGCGGTTTCCCAGGCGAACAGCTGCTCTCAGCAGGAGGTAGGGATGGGGTGGGGGTGAAAAAACCAGCCCAAGCCTGGGATGGCGGGTCAAAGCCCCAGAGGCGGCTGGAGACAAACACGCTGAGACTCCAGGAGCGGAGGGAATGGGACAGGCGAGGAGAGTGAGACCAGGGAACTGTACAAGGATATTTTAAATTCAAAGCACGTCCAGCCAGCCAGTCGCTCTCCTCCCCTCCCCCGCAGCTCTCCGGGTGTTCAAGCGAGTAAAATCAATTCTCCTAGCGTCCCGGCCCCTCCCAAAGACCCAAAGACCGGAACGCACAGC